CACGATGAGACTCCAAAAAAAAAAAAAAACCCCAAAAAAAAAAAGGGGGTGGGGGGGGGAAGAAGGGGGGGCAGGGCCTTTTTAGGGGGGGGGGGGGGGGGGGGGGGGGGGGTTAATATATTTTTCCAATCAGGACAAAATACTATCATTAATTAGTATTAATTAAATATTCCAGTTAGTATTGATTAATATTAACTGGCACTTATTAATTCCATTGGTTAGTATCTTTCAGTTTTTAGTCACTTAACAACAGTAGTCTTTATTAATTCACAAAGTGATCGTTTAATTATTCTTAATTGATTTTACTAAATTAAACTACGTAGTTAGTAGTCATAAAATTCAAATCGTTAATACTAAATAGCATCAATTAATGATCATCTATATTTCTTACTGATTAGTAAAACAAAATACATAGTTCGTGTATATTTTAGTTTTTTTTAACAGTCTGATTTTAAAAAGTTTAATTTTTTTGACAAGAAGAAAAGTTGTAAAACTTTGCATATATATTACTTGTGCTTTTCTGGTACTCATTTCATATGTTTCAACATTCATTGCATTTATTTCAATTCGATTAATTTCTGCTTCAGCTTCACGTAAAATTTTTTCCATTTCAAGTAAAACACGATTATATTCTTGCCAATCAGTTAAAATTGATTTCGATTTTAATTTTAATTGTTCAATCGATGGTGATAAATGATCAAGCATATGACGTAAATTTTGGATTGTACCATCTTGATCAGTTATTCGAAATGTTGATGAAGATGATGTCATTCGACCATTATAAGATTTTAATAATGTAAGAATTTGTTGTTTGGATGTTAATTGAAATTCCATTTCCTATAGAAATTAGAATTATATAAAAAGACACAGAAAAAAAAAATGTTTTACATTGCATCTTCTTATATTATCTTTAGCACCAGCTTCTACATTTCTCGTACGCATAAATTCAAGATCCGATGTTTGTTCTTGTACCCAATCAGATAATGTACGTATAGTTTGATCGAATTCATTAAATTGATCATTGAGTTGTTCTAATGTCTATTGGAATACAAAAAATTAATATACTTAGAAGATTTTTTTCTTTATATATATGGGGGT